AACTAACTACTACGTACGTACGTCGTCTCTCTCTCTCTCTCTCTCTCTCTCTCTCTCTCTCTCTCTCTCTCTCTCTCTCCATATCCTCCTAGTGTTCGAGACCTCTCTCTCACAAATATAAAGAAAAACGAGAATGATCTTTAAGAGTTTCATGCAAGACCTCACGCACACACATATGTGCACATGCACACACGCATAAAACAACATATGGCCCCCAACCCAACCCCTTCAATTAGGAATGCCTTTGTGTCTAGGTGCCTGCCTAGACGAGCCACCTTGGCTCCTAGGCGGCCCAGACCCTTGGCTGCCTAAGCGGCCGCCTCCGCCTTTTTTAACATTGAGGGCCTCATTAGTTATGAAGCAACCCTAGGCACACAAGGCGCCACATAAAAGACAAGACCCCTGATCGCCTAAGTGACCGAATATGCTTTCACTGCCAATGATCCTAGTAGAATCAAATTGATGAGTTTACTCATCAAGAAAGACGTATCCTAGACCATCACTTGAAAGAAATTTTTCAAATGCCTCAGCAGCAAGACAAAGAATAAACAAGTGTCGCATATATTTCAACTCTGCCCAATAATCATAAAGGATTTAATTTATGCATTGCATATTAATGCTTTAATCAACTTACTGGGGAAATTATATGCAGCCCTGAAATATGAAGGTTCATGCATGTGAGCACATACCAAAGGATGGCAGGATGCAAATTACTTATCTACCCTTATAAGGGAGCATTAAAGAAAAAGGAGGCATTAAACAAATACCACTTGTATATAACATAAAAGCACATACTCTTAAAAGCACTGACATGCATTCTAAATTTTGGAAAACCTAAAAGAACATTGTTATCCAAGAACTAATTAACTAACTAAGAGAGCATTTTTCATCACTCTTAGACCGTACGGAATGTAATTGCTTGATCCTATATTTATTATAAGAAATTACTTATGACTAGTGTGTTTCGAGTACTATCATGAGAGACCTACAACAATATAAGTCAGTCAAGTTCTTCCAAAAAAAACATATGCTTATTGTACAGTTGGCTGTGAAGTAATTGATGCAATAATCTAGACCCTGACCTTGTGTCCCAACAGGCATGAATAGTGGAGTCTGACATGTAAAATGGGGCAAAGTAAGTTGAGCTGCACGTGCACGATTAAACCTTGCAAGAACCTGGAATCACATATAGTATTTAAAAAATGTCAGCATAAAGTGTTTTACAAAGAACTTTATAAATGCTAAAAACCTAAATAAATGCATGCATCCAGAACTAAAATTGTTAAATTTAACAAAACAATGAGAGGCCGTATACTAGAACTCAAAATGTTAGGATTTTGAGTTCTTGAACACCTAGATCATTCCCTCCAAAAAATAATTGGTTTCAGTGAAATCTTGGGATGCCAATTTGTTTTACGCACATAGAGAATGAGAGCTATTTTATTTTATTTTCTTGTGAATGTTTGCCAGGTTCCAGAGATCATACTCAGCATAAGTTTTGCCCAAGGGAGTAGATGGATAGTACACTCCTGCAAAAGTAGGAAATCTTTCGGCAAACAACAATACTTCATAATGTTAAGTCAAAGAAACCCAGTACAGCCAATAGAGGTCATCTCAGATATCCTCAATTAGAATCACTAAGAAGCAAATGAAACAGCATACAATTTGAAATTAATGGAACAGACACAATGCAAAAATCTATTTCAACATTGAGAAGAAGAAAATGGGAGTTAAAATTAAATGAATGATGATTGTAGTTTTCCATCTTTCAATTTTCTATTTTTTATTTTTTATTTTTTGGGGAAAGTGGCCAACTTTCGAATTTCTCTCTCATTTATACAGTTTTTCCGAAAATAACGAGAGAAAGATGTGCACCTCAAATAAATGTATTTCAAAACATTAATACCACATAGGTCATGTTAGAGCGGGAAAAAAGTCGAGAAAGATATATGTACATAAATTTTTGTGTGTCCTCATATGTAACCATCAAATTAAAAATAATCACTATTAAAACAGTTTTAGTATTGCCAAATAATTTTCTGAAGAAGAGGGGGAATGGTGAGAGTTCCATTCGTCTCGTTGCTTTGAGCTAAGCAACGGCAGTTTCAAAGGATAGGCCCCTTCTGAATCACTCTTCTAGCCTAGAACCACCTCTTTCCCAATCACTTTCTGTTAACAAGCGACTCCAGCTTCCATCCATCTCGTGGAGCTTTTACCAGAACCACTACTTACCCTACACAGACACAACTCACTCTTTTATTCCGTACCACACCCACATAGCTCCTAACCGTAAATGATCTACCAGCCAACCCCGTTCAACCTCCTTAACGGTTACCCCACCTACCTCTGAAACAAACTTTTCTCCTCCCAAATCCAAACCAGTTAAAATCACACTACCACAGCTTTATGATAAATATATATATGTTAAATTAATCAGGCCAGCCAACACAACCTCTGCACCTCATCCACCACACATAATTCCACACCAACCATCTAGCTCTGCTCCCCTCCCCTACCCTCCCCCCCTCCATTAAACCACATCAACCTCCTCCCATTGTTCCCTCGTCACAAAATGAGGTTCCATTCTCTCCTCTCTACTAGATCTACTCCATCCTCCTCAAACCTCATAACCCTCCAAGCAAATCTAAGGTTCCCAACCATCGGGAAGATGAAGCCTTCATCTTCCCAAAAACACTCCCTTAATAGACCCTAAACTCATTCCTGGTGAAACCCATAATCCTCATATCTCCAACCTTTCTCTACCCAAGTCTCTCCTAGACCAAACCATATTCATTATTTCGGGAGGCCACCTGCAACACAAATAAGATCTTTTGCATAATTCCTTAATTATTGGGTTCAGACCTCCCAAGCATGATTTCATAAACCTTCAGAGATGGACAGTCTCCACTTAGATTTCTAAGTTTATCACTCATCGACCTCTGCTGAATGGAGCTCACTTGTTATCTTTTCCCTCCAAGAAGCGAAGGGCCACGGAGGCATCTTTCAAATATCTTTTTTCTAGGAAACAAAACTACACTTAAGCCCTCGAGCCCCGCTTTTTGGTCCATTACTTCCCATCAGTTCTGGATTATGTTCATGGCAGCCCATGCCTATTACCTGCTGGTTTACAAAGCCATAGGTGAGCTCTGTGGGGGTTTCTTGAAAAACAATTCCAAGATCTCTCAGAACCTCCCTATTGGTTAGGTCTCTTTTACCAGTTAAATTTTTTTCATTAGAATCCCTGCCCAAATCCATATACCTCAAGTTTGGGAATCACTCCTACTCCATGTTTACTCAACCCCAAGATGCTAAACCCCATCGTAGGGCTCTTACCATAGTGGATCACCAACTCAACTATCCTACTCCTTGGTCTCTAGCCGAACTCCATACTTCATTGGACAATGGTTCAGAGACAATGACCATGGTGATCCAAAAGCACCACCACAACAGCAAAAATTGCGGGACATGGATGGCCATCTGATGGCGACTCCACAGCTGGCCCCATTCCTATCTCGCAATCGAAGACCTCACTTCATACGCCTCACTCATCCTTAACTGGGACAATTGATGAAACACTACCACCAACCACCCTTTCAATTACCGCAGTTTTCGAGGAACTCCTTCCTTATCCCACATCTTGCTCTTTGCCTGCTCAAAGGACAGATCCAGAAGCATCTGATCATGATCTCTCTCCTACTCCAATTGTCCCATATGCCAACACTCTCTCGCTCCCCAAGACTTGCTCTCCCAACCCTCCCTCTCTCCTTTGCTTCTCCCTCGCTCCAAATCTCTCCCCCAACTATTTTCTTTCACACTTGCTTATTCTCTCTTCTCGAAAACTGCTCTTTTCTTCTCCTTTTCTCTCTCCCCATCAATAGTGGCCCTTGTGGTTCTTGCAATAGTGGCTAAGCACCTGATATGCGAGTGGCCAACCTTATTGTTTGATGTTTTTCATTTTTTTTTGTTTATACTAAAACATAGGTTTATGGGAAACCAATCTCATGCTCCAAAATAAACTCCCATATTTCTAGGAAATGTGTCTCAAATTGTTGGGTTGGCCAGATTCTAATGCTTGAGAATAGATTCCTGTGGTACATGACACTGCAGACATCCTTCCTCTCATGGGAAAGACTCAAAACACCTATCTCTTTGAATATGGTTTACAATAAGTTGTTATGGCTTATTCCCAGCATATATTCTCTAGAGTCAATGCAACAACTCCTTAATCTGCACGTTGGACTTTATGTTCGCTGCATAACATTTTTTGGATGTATAAAATTTAAGAAAATATGTTTTTTTCTGGTTTTGTACAGCGCACCCATATTGTGACCTGCCACTCTGTTTTTGTATTTCATCATTGAAGCTTAATACAACCATGAACACGATTTCAAAAACAAAATGACTCATTAATCTCTACGGTGTCCAAAGTTGCATCATATGTTATACTTCTTGAAGTTAGGTCAGTGTTCCTGATGCATCCAACCATATTATAGGTGTTTCATCACTATGCCTTCCCTCGAAAACCGTACACAATCTATTTTTGTTGAAAACTTAAACCATTCACTCTTACCAACTTGCAAATCAAGCTAATGATATCAGTCTACGTGAGCCTATCATGAATAATCTTGATTTACAACAGATGGAACTTCGAGGTATAAACGCTAACATAATTAGTAAGTTTCATGAAATGTCACAGATATTCTCTATTTCAAGTTTCTTTCACTTGCCCAAAAAATCAGTCAGTAAAGGGATCAGAGAACCTGCATGCCTCTAGATATTCAAGCTTTTGCATGAATTTGACAACTTTGAAAGAGAACTGTCCTAGATCAGAAAGAAGAATCTATATGCAAAGTTACAGACCAAATTAACTTGCCAAACTAAGCATCTTGTAATTTTAAAACATGGGTATAGTGGGCCAAACCTCAAAACAGAGAGCCATCACAGACAATATTTATAACTCTTTAGTCTGCAAGGCACAGGAAGGTATCAGAGGGTCAATAATGGGAACTCCTTTATGGGATCAATGAATGAATTAACCATTAGTAACATGATGAAAGAAGATATCAAGATTCCAAGCGAAAAAAAAGAGTATCAGAGAATCACATCCAACTTGATTGATCCATATCACTTCAGTATTTGTTCAGTCAGTAAAAATAAAAAATTGAAAAAAGAGTTTGTGAAAAGTGACACACATATTCAAATAGGCCAATGATTCACATGACTCAAGTAAACCACCCAAAACACCAGGGAAATAATTCCTAATGAATCATATGAATCATACTATAAAAATCTCAAGTTCAGGATACAAACAATAAACCAAAACACAACGGCACTATAATAAATACTATTAATTGAACCAGGGTGATAAAGACAATCAGCCAGCTTAAGCAGGAAACTGACCTGAATCTGATTTACAAATACAACATCATTTGCTGGTAAAATCATCACAACGCCATTGCTTATGAGAAGCAGAGGAGCAAGACATACTATGACCTAAAAATACAACAAAATATAATAAAAATAACCATCTTAAAAATCAAAAAACCAAAAAAAAAATTAAAAAAACCAACTTGAAGGGAATAACGCCATCACACGAAATTATTTTTTAGTAGAACGAGGCCTTTAGTGATAAACATTGAAATGGTGGTTAAGCGATAAACATTGGACCAAAAACCATAACAGAAAAGAGAACATAAACTGCACACAGATAGAAGAAAGCCAAAAAAAAAAAACGGAGAATCAGAATTAAGCACAAAATAAAGCATAAACGAGGTAATGAGAAATAAAAACAAGGAAAATATCTTGAAAAAGCTCATAGAACTGGAATGTTCAATCTACGCTTAGTAAGATAGGGAGTTACGAAACTTTGAGGAAAAAAGGAGTTTCAAGGAAAGATAGAAATGGTGTAAATAAATAGAAAAAACTCCACGGAAGTTCATAGGCAGGGAGAAAAGGCATGTACAGAGAACAGTAGTAAAAACAGGAAATGGTGTAAAATAAAATGGAGAAAGACGAAAATTAAAACGCCGTGAAAAACTTTATTGTTAAATCACTGGATGAAATATTTATGGTTCATTGGTTCCACTCTAAAGTGGGAGAGAGAAACCAGGAACATGAAGAGTAGGAGACTTAGTAATCCTCTCTGCGAGAAATTGAGTAGCAAACAAGCAGCATTCTTAGAAAGAAGAAAACAGCGCACCTCTTCTTCTTCCAAGGTTTTCTTCTGGAATGGTGTCACAGAGAGAAGTTCTGGAGAGAGAGATTTTAGAGAGAGAGAGAGAACTGTGATGGAGAGGGAGGTGGGGCGACTGAAGTTCCAAGGGAGGGAAGAGACAAGGAAATTGCGGAAGCAAAGTTTGAAGTACTCGCTTTATATCCTATACAGCATGTAGTATATAAACAAAGTACTACACTTATTCCTGCCCATTTATAATAAGAAAAAGTTTATATAAGGGTATGCGATGTTAAAATGTAGAATTACAAATGCACCTTAAAACTCCATCGGAAAATATTGTTTTAAAGTTGAAAAAACCTCTATTTTATCATCCCGATACCTTTATAATATCGAGGGTAAGCATGAACTATTCAAACCAGACTAGTTAACCAAACATGGGCTTAGAAGTAGTTCAATCGAGAAACCGTTCTAGTCGGACAAATCTTTCGTTAAAAAAATAAAAAATATATAAGTTAATGAAAATAAAAATTTAAATAAATGATTTAATTTTAAAAAAAAATTAAAAATATATAAAAATAAATACCAATAGCCAAAACAATGAGATTTTTGCAACAAAATAAATTTTCTTGATTAGATTTCGCTAGATGGAGGTTTTCCTTTCCATAGTCTACATGTGAAGTGCGAGATTATAACACATGTAGATTACCCATCAATATGGTACATGCTATCTCCATAGTCAACAATATGACGGTGGGGATGATGACCTTCGCTTGAAACTGGATTTGAGTATGGATCAGTGTCAGAAAACACAAATTGAGAACGGATCCTGGCCATGGAACAGGTCACCCGGACCTAGTCCGAGTAATTGGGCCAAATCTGGCAGGTCTCAATCGAGCTATAAAGGGTTAAAAAAAAGTATAAAAAATCTAAAAAAAATGTTTAAAATATATTTAAATGAAATTACAAATAGTTAAAATAATTTTAAAAATATAAAAATAAGTATTTTTTGCCACTTTCAAAGCTTTTTCAAAAATAATAAAAAATATTAAAAAATCCATTACAAACTAATCTTTTATTTTAATTTTTTTAAATTAGGGTGATCAAGGTAGTTGACCACCCACCAAAACCATCCATGATTAGCAACAAGTTCAAAATAACCCAGCCGGTTCTAGGGTGATCCGGCCGATTTTGCGAACACGGTATGAACAGTGGAGTTTATGTGGACGATGATGTTAGTACGACACACCCTAACTGACCAAAACTGGCCATGGTTAGTGAAACCTTCAAATCAGTGCCGACTCGTGCGAGTTTAATTGAGAATAGGACGTTGTTTGCTTGAATGGAAGATTCTCACCGGTGTTGTGAGCCATAGCGTAGGGCGCTTCTCAATCCGTTTTGAACCATTCATCTTACATGTATGGTAGAATATTGTAACCAAACTCGATCGGAGTATGGTATGCATACACCATGTGTGCATCGTAGTCCCAAGTGGAAGGTATTGTAGTCCTCCATATCCGTTTGACCAAATGCCAAATGCCATTTATGGCAACTTGAAGGATGGCTAGAGATAGATTTCAGTGGTTTGAAAATATATAAAACTATCGACAACCGTACAGTATTTGTATGGTATGGAGATATTTTTCAATTTGAATCTTCGCTTATAATACACACTATGAAGGCCATCAAGTTCCATGATGCTTTATAGCTTTGAAGTATGCGCCTTATCTAATAGATCAGTAGTATAACTTACAAATATTAATGTCTCTAGGGTTTTTATCTGTTTTTGGGCCTTGTGTTTATATCTTGATTTCATAAGTGCTATAGGGATGAGTCACATTTTATGATAAACTGTCTGACTTCTACACTTGTATAGGTATGTCTATCAAGAATGACTCTGTGTTAAAACACTTTGATTTATATATAGTCATGCACATCATTAAGAACTTAACTCGGCCTTCTTATATACTGATCATTACTAGACTTATCCACCATATGGATTTCTTTACAATAGGTGCTTACAAAAAAAATTCATTTAGTAACCACTTGTATAACTTGTTATTACCATATTGAATCTAGATTTTTTAGGTCACAAAGGACTAGGTTGGGTTCTTAATGTAGGTGACTCCTTTATGGATAATGTCATCCCTTACAAAGCCTTTCGTCAAATAATCGGTCTAATTTCCTTTGACTTCACATACTCTAGACTTATTACTTCATCTTTAATTAATTTTTATATGGAGTTATGTAAGTGCACAATATTTCTAGACTTACCATTGTATACATCACCACATGCTCACGTAATACTGGCATAATCGTTAGTATATACTCTGATTGTTGGTATCGATCTTGGCCACGTTGGTAGGTCATATAAACATTCATTAGTCATTTTGCTTCTTCACAAGCATAGTCTAAAGCAATAAATTCTAACTCTATTATAGAGCGTGAAATGCAAGTTTTCTTAGTTGGCCCCATGACACCACTCCCTTTAATATCCATGTGGATGTTTATAGTGAATCTTGAACTTTCATGTTCCAATTTGTATCACTATATCCTTCCAATTCATTAGGATAACCTACATAATACATGTTATAATTGATAGTTCCTTTTAAATATTTTAACACTCGAGACATTCTTTTTCAATACTCTCTACTATAGTAAATTGTAAAACTACTAAGTTTTTCCACTAGATATGCAATTATTGGGATAATGATGTAAATAAAATTGGGGTTATTTCAATTTTTAATTTTATTATTCTTTTGTTTATTTTTCTTAAGAATAAGAAGTGAACTGGGATAATTAATAGGGGAGGGAGGATTTTAGTACGTATTGTTAAGTGGAAGGATTTTGTGGAATAGATTATGAATAGTCTTTTAGGAAGGATTTGGGAAGGGATAAAGATCACGTGAAATGAGGGAGCTAATTTGGGGAAGTTAGTGAGATAAAGAGAAAAATAGGGAGATAGTGTGTGAGGAAGATAGGGAAGAGATTTATGTAGAAGTTGGAGAGAAAGATAAGGGAAAGTAGTACGTGACTTTTCGAGAGATAAGAGAGTTTTTTTTTTTTGTGGGTTATTTTATTTTTTTATTTTGTATAGTATATATAAAGAGAGATGTCCCTCCATTATAATACACAGAGATTGAAATTAAAGTAAATTTCGGTCTTGTGAAGATATCGTTTTTTGGGTGGATTCCCTTGCAGATCTTGAGATAGGATATTCTCTCAACATTTTTCTTTTTTTGTTTCAGTTTTATTTTCTCCTCGCATCAGTTGATTATTAGGTGAAATATGCACATAATACAAAACAAAACAAACTCAAAAGTACAAAAACAAGGCATATTGGTAAATAGACTTTTATTTTATTATGGGGATTGAATAGTTCCAAGGTACCCGTGAATGCCTTATTAATTACATTCACTATCTCATAAAATGAAGATGTTGAAAACCTTTGTTAATCAATCACATATGAATTCGTCAAGCGAAGAAATATGGAAGAGTTAGCTAGTGAGTCTTGTTTTTGTAGCTACTTGTATTAGCTCATTCATACAACGACAAACACTCTTAATATATTTGAATATGCCTGCCATGTCTCAATCATTGGACTTCTTCATTGCTTTTCTTTATTTGCTTTAGCTATTTATAATCATCAAATACTTTGATTGGTGTCTCTTGATTGTGCTTGACAATTGTGATACAGTGTGTATAGTGGTCATGTTCTGATGATGATACGCAGTTCTATATGATTGTTTTTGGGTTATGGAGCCTTCATCACTTCTTAAACATGTGTCGCTTGGTCTTTGTCTTAGCATGTCATTCTAGAATGATGTAGTGTCTTCCATTAAGAGTGACTTGGATGAAAGGCTTTATCCTTTCCCCAAGTTCAGTGTACATAATCTTCTTGAATGTTTTCACAAATCTTTGGACCTCTAGAATTTAGAAGAAGGGGTTCTTTATGTGTTAGCTCGTCTCTGGTGATATAGATAGTGTTGACTTCGTGGAACTCTTCTCGATTCCTCCTCGGAAGTTTGGAGTGTCAATACCTGAACGCAGTTAGATTGGCATCCCTTCTGCTTTGGTATATCCTCCTTTCAGTGGGATTCCTTGTTAGAGATTGGCAACGTATTGGGCTTTTGTAAGACATTCTTATATGTATGATAGATTTATTGCAATAGATCGTCATAGTATTCTACAAAGACAACATTAATCGTCTCCTTTACAATGTTTTTATCCTTGGTCTGCCCTTCGGCCGTGTTGTTTGATAGTGGATTGGTGAATATCCCCATTATTTGATTGGCATCGTTTGTAGGTTTATCTGGTTTATTAACTTTGATTGCCACACAATTGATGAGATCCTAGATAACCTGTTTGAAAAACATACATTCTTGGGTGTTGTGAGTGTGTTCCTATGCCACTTGAAGGTTTTGTTTGGGTAGCAGATAAACCTACTCTCTCTCGAGAAGCATGGCAAGCACATCCTCGAGTGGTTCTTTGAAGGGCTTTAAAGGAATTTCCAGGGGAGGTCTATGATTATCATTGTTGTTATTGCCCAGGGTGTGACTCCTCCAGTTTTTATTATTTAGCTGATTCTTCCGAGCTAGCTCTAGAGCATTGTCAGTAATGATGATTTCATTCATGTGGCAATTTAAAGACCATATGAAAGCATGTGCTGAAATCATATATAGCGATATGTTGGCTCTAGTAGGCATGTGGTACAGATTGGATTGTGAGGACTTATTAGTACCGAGACTCAACTAAGATTTGACTGGCTATGGCTAGGGGTGATGTCTAAAACTTGTAGCGCTGGGTATTTTGTGTACAGCCGATAAGGGTTTCGATATGGGTTGCTCCTTGATAAGGTCAGAGTTGTACCTAAGGCGATTGGCCAGGGGATTGGGTGTGACCCATATGTGTGATGGGTGGCCGAAGAAGACAATGGCCGGAATCATCATCATTACCATCATAAGGTAAAAAAGATTGCGTCCCTAGAGGCGGGTCTCAGTATTTCCCCAATTAGTTTAGTAAATAACGTAAAAAACTTTTTCCATAACATGTTTGGGCACATGGATTTTGGGGCATGAAATTTTAATATCTTGGATATCACTAAAATCCACCGTTTGGTTTGCTCAATAGCTAGGATATTAAAATTCCATGGAAATTAAAAATCTTGGAAATCAAAACCTACTTTTTTGAATTTTCAAGCTTCATGGATTTCACTCGTTGACTCCCTCGACCTGAAACATAGGACACATTTGGTAAGTATGAAATTTTAGAGAGAGAAAGTAGCTAAGAATTGCTAAAGAGAGAAATTCTCAAATTTTTTTGAGAGAAATACTCTCAAATTTTAACTTTTACGAGAGAGAAAATATGTTGCAATTTTAGGGAGAGAAACTATATCAAATATTAGAGAGAAAAAGTACCTAAATATTTATAGACAGACAAACTATCTCAAAATATTTAGAGAGAGAAACTATTTTAAATGTTAAGTTTTAAAGAGATAAACTATAGGAAAAATTACAAAAAACCCCCCGACCACACTTTCTATGCAACTTACCCCCAACCTAACTTTTGCTCTCACTTTTGTTTCCCAAAATAAACTTTTTATGCAAATACCCTCCAAGGAAAAAAGTTCATTTTTTCTAGACGGAAATGCCTTTCATGTACACAAAAATCATTTTGGCCAGATTTGACGTTGACTTTTGGACCCCAGTAGTACATTGCCGGAGCGCACCATCACATTCGTAGAGCGCACAAGTGCCGGACCATCCTAAGACAATTGTCGGACCGAAACTAAGTATTGCCGGACTGCTCTTTAAGACAACTACCGGACTGAAACTAAATACTGTCAGACTGCCATTTATGACAACTACTGGACCGGAACTAAGTACTACCGAACCACCATTTACATAGCGCCAGAGCCCTTGAATCCAGTAACATCTACCGCCGGACCGCCCTTTACAACTATTGGACTGCACTTTACACATTACCAAAGCCCTACTGTCGGACCACACTTTACACATTGTCGGAGCCCTACTGTCGAACCGCACTTTACACAATGCCGGAGCCCTACTGCCAAACCTCACTTTACATAGTACCGGAGACCTATTGCTGGACCGCACTTACATAGTTCTAGAGCCCATATTTTGGAGGGATAGAGGAGTGAGAGGCGTGTGTAAGGTAAAAGTAAGAGAGGGTAGTTTAGGTATTTTTTATTTTTATTTGGTTGGTTGGGTATTTGCATAGAAAATATATTTTGGGGAAAAAAGTGAGAGAAAAACTTAAGTTGAGGGTAATTTACATAGAAAGTGTAGTCTTGGGGTTTTTTGTAATTTTTCCAAAAATATGTCAAATTTTAAAGTGAGAAACTATCTTAAATTTTTAAAGAGAGAGAGAGACTATCTCAAATTTAAATTTTGAGAGAGAGAGCATCTTAAAATTTTTGAGAGAAAAACTATATCAAATTTTAGAGAAAGTGCCTAAAAATTTTTAGATATAAAAACTATCTCAATTGTTTTAGAGATAGATACAATCTCAAATTTTAAGTTTTAGAGAGGGAAAATATATTAAAATTTTAAAGTTAGGAACTATATCAAATTTTAGAGAGAAACTACTTAATAATTTCTAGAGATAGAAATTATAGCATATTTTGCAGAGAGAGAAACCATCTCAAATCTTAAGTTTTAGAGAGAGAAAGTATATTAAAATTTTAAGGATAGAAACTATATCAAATTTTATAGAGAATCTGCCTAAAATTTTTAGAGATATTAGCATCTCAAAGTTTTAAGAGAGATCTCAAATTTTAAGTTTTAGAGAGGGAAAATACATAAATTTTTAGAGATAGAAATTATATCAAATTTTAGAGAGAAAAATTACCTAAAATTTGTAGAGAGAGAGAAACTATCTCAAAATTTTTAAATAGAGAAACTATCACAAATTTTATGTTTTAGTTAGAGAAAGTATTTTAAAATTTTAAAAAGCGAAACTTTATCAAAATTTAGATAGAGAACATATTTTAAATTTTTAGATAGAAACTATCTCAATTTTTTAGAGAGAGAAACTAACTCCAATTTTAACTTTTAGAGCGAGAAAGAATTTAAAAAATGTAATATTTAGTAGCTATATCAAATTTGGGAAAAGTTTATATAGAACCGAGGCTCTAAACAATCAAATTAGATCATGCCTCAAAAATTTCACTAGAAAAGGTTGTTTTGATGCTCAAATATCCTCAAATTGGTCGTCTCGACATCAAGGTACATGGACATGAGAAAAAAATGGATTTCAAGTTTTGGAAATAGTGTATTTTATAACACATTTTTGGACCGTCAATTTTCAAGATTTTCAAGTTTCCATAGATCTGGCGATCTATACTATTTTTGAAGCTTTAAACTTTATAAATAAAGATGAAAATATGTTTTAAAGCTACTATAAAGATTTTCAGTAATGAAACCACATTTCTCGACTCTATTTGAAGTAGACTCTAATTTGATTGTTTAGAGCCTAGGCTCTATACAAACTGCACCCATCAACTTTTAGAAAGAGAAAATACCTAAAAGTTTATATAGAGAGAAACTATCTCAAATTTCTTAGAGAGAAATTATCTCAAATTTTAAATGTTAGAGAAAGAAAATATATTAAGATTTTAGAGAGAAAAACTATATTCTAGAGAGAAAAACTATCTCAAATTTTTTAGAGAGAGAACTATCTTAAATTTTAAGTTTTATAGGGGCTATCTTAGAATTTTAGAGAGAGAAACTACATTAAATTTTAGAGAGAAAAAACATCGGATTTTTTTTTTTTGAGTAAGAAAGCACTTGAAAATTTTAGAGAGAGAAACTGTATCAAAATTTTAAGAGAAACAATTTTAAATTATACATTTTGAAGAAGAAATATATTAAAATTTTATGGAGAAACCATAACAAATTTCAAGGAGAGAAACTACTCAAAAATTTTAGAGAGAGGCTATCCCAAATTTTGAGTTTTAAAGGCAGAAAGTATGTTAAAGTTTTATAGAGAGAATCTATAACAAGTTTTATCATTAAATAACGAAATGATGGTATCGGTTCCATAAATTTATCCAAAAAACAATATTTGAGAAATCCGTGACAAAAATCCTATCGAAATCCCATCTATTTTATTAGATTTCAAATACCTCGAAGATTCCTAATTTTTCCCCTATCCAAACGGCCTTGCGCGAAGACAAAAATCCTTTTCGAAAAAGTTTTTGGTCTGCCTTTGTCCAGGCGGTCCGGGTCGCTGGCTGCGCTTCACTTGTGACTCGCGAGTCTCGTTGACAAGCCTCTCCAAAGGAACCGCGTTTATTTTTGTATTTGTTTCTTCCCAGTTTTAATATCTTCATTTATTATTGGAATTTCTTTCGTTGATTGCAGCAACGAGTTGCCACCCAGATCGTGTACTATACACCCCATTTAACTCCACCAAGTAGAAGCCACGAATAACCCTAATATTCTGAAGATTAATTGATGCAGGTCTTGTCTTCTCCATAGCTCAGTAATGGCTCTGCAAATCTGATTTTCTAACTTATTTTCAGTATCGACGTGGTTATTTCTTTATGTTGATTGCCAAAAGTTAGCTTTTGTTTTAGGGCAAGATTGATCTGTTGTAATCCAGTAGTGATTGCTTTAAGTTTTTTGACTTCATTGTTCAAAATTTCAGCTTTAAAACTTTTTATTGTGACGGAAAATTTCTCTGGTAACCCTGTATCGATGTGTTATTTCGGGAATTTGGAGTTTGCTAATATCCTATAAATGATGGAGCTTGAGGAAGGTATGTTATTTCTAATGGAGATCAGCTTTCTTTTTCTGGTTTCGATTCCAGATCAGATTGCTGCTTCGAGATATACAATTTCTTCTTTCCTAGAGTACCTATTTGGTGATGTTGTGAGACACATTTGTGTTTTAAGAGAGCTGCATGGCAACATTTGTAAATCTGCTCATGAAAATGAGCCTTAGAGCTCCAGAAAGTGCCATTGCTACTCACATTTGATATATTATGACTTAAGTCCTATGATCATGTTACCTGACATAACCAAATCTTCAGAAATGGAATCTGGTGATAGTAGTGTGAAGTAAGAATATTCACTAATGCTATGAATCCATGTCAAGTATTGCTTGATTTGCATCAAGTGACTTTTAAGGGGGTTGTTTGCATTTATATTTGAGAGAAGGAAAGTTTGAATGCTTGTGAGTGACTATCTTTTTGCTTGTGAAACATTGACTAGAATTACCTTCTCAAGAATACCTTTACACTGTTGTGACAGAGCATTTACAAAAACTTGTAGTAGTGAACTACCACTCTGAATATTGTATAGCTATAAGATATTTTTTAGGTATAGGAGGGACATATCTTGCACACAATGCTGCTATTCATGGAGTTTTGGTACCACATTATGGACTGCTATTGGTGGGCACGTAGTTATGCTTTCAGCCTGCCTTGATGAGCACAGAGACTGATACTGTTCTCACATCTATAGAGTCTCAATGGGTCCACTTCATTGTCCCGTTCATTACTAACTACACTCTAGATTCACTTCAACCATTGAACAAAGCATTTGCTATTGTGGCCTTTCCTTATGCTTCTTTCTACTCTCTGGCGTCGCCATCATTCTCTTCATATGTCAATTGTTTCCTTAGTGTATATCCTTGTTTTCTTTTTCCGAGAAAAGGTGACTATAATTGTATTACTGAGTAATAAAATGTATACAAAATGGGACCCTCTTAGAGGGCACCCAATACAATCCCGAAGGGTATTAAAAATGGTGCAAAAGCAAAGTCACAACTCCAAGGAGGAATGTGGCTGATCTAACAAAATCTAAAGCCCCCCAGGGGCAATGAGAGTAGGCTCCCTCTTTAGCAAGATAATCAGCATCAGAATTGGCCTCCCGGAAAATATGGCACCACGAGATTGAGATATCTTGTGACCAATGAGATATTTCATCAAAGATGTCATCTAGGCGCCACGGGCAGGGAGAGAGGCCTGATGCCCAAGCTATGACGTTCTTAGAGTTCCCTTCCACCATTAGGGTGTGACCCCAGGTGATGCGAAATCTACGTAGACCTTCTAAAAGAACCATGGCTTCGGCTACAGTTGAGTCCTTGAGGCCAATGGGGCAGGGAAAGGCGTGCAAGATCTGTCCATCGGATGAACGAAAGAGCTCGAAAGAGCCCACCTACTCTGGAGGGGCCGGGGTTCCTAAGGGAGCAGCAATCAAAGTTGAGCTTGAGATAGTTGGCTTAGCCCCCTGGAGTAAGTTGTGCCAGTTCCTATAAAAATCAGTTAAGGGGATTCCTTTAAACAACCTGTGGTTCGTGGCCCAAAAAGCCAAGTTCCAGACTTTGTCAGCCAAAGCCCCAACTGAAGATCTTTCTCCTCCGAATATCCTATGGTTCCTTTCAATCCACAAAACCCTCAGTGTGGCTAAAACAGATGCTTTCCAAAGTTCTCTTCCTGCCTTGGGCCAGGGAGTGTAGAGAAAAGCCTGATACAAGTGCGGAATAGAGCTAGGAGTGACCCAAGTCCACTGGAATAGGACCCAACAGGTAGGTCCACAGTTCTTTGGCGAAATCGCAGTGAAGGAATTAGTGTGCATTGGTTTCTTCATTCTCCATGTACAAGGACCATCTATTAGGGCATTGCATTCCTCTTCTTTGGAGAAGATCGATCGTCAACAATCTCTCATGTAGCGCTATCCAGCAAAAAAACCTGGATCCTAGGGGGCAAAAAGGGGTTCCAAGCTCTTGATGGCCAATAAATATTCGGGCCAGCAGTGGTGGGGGTGAGAGAGCAAAAGAAGGAAGAGATCGAGAACATACCCATGGGTGATGGTTCCCAAATAATCCTATCATCACCAGAGGTTGGAAGGAAGACATGATGAAGAATTTCAGCCAGCAAATTAGTGTATATCCTTGATGCAGATCCATTTGGCAGTTGGTCACTTGGGTAGTGAAGTTCAACCATTACTTTCACTCTCTTTTGGAAGTCGATGCATAAGTTGTTGATGGAAGATGAATGAAGGGTTCATTTCTTTCCTGTTATAGTTGCGTGTTGATGCACCATAAATGTGTCTTTTGTAGAAGAATTGACGAGATAAGACAAACTCCAAAATATAAACAGATAAGACAACAAAATGGGGAACAGATTTTATTTATTTTTATTAAATATGAATATACGGGTTCAGGAGGAGTTCCAAGTGCTACAAAAGAGAAGCTTGTTTCGTTTATATCCAACTCATTTAGGCAAGAAAGAATACCCTTGATCAGTCAATCCACGTCACATGAAGTGCTCCAGAATAATACCGTTGAGCCTTTGTGGCCTTACCCTACAAAAAGTATGGTGGATGGGTTTTCACCGTGGTTACAATCTAAAATAAGCTTTGTCCTGCTTCCTGCAGTGGATCTGCCTCGCTCTTTGCCATATTCAAAAATGAAAAAGAACCCCCAAAAAGTCTGAAAGTCCCCTCTTTCGTTGATCAGAGTACTTTTATAGACTCTAGAGAGAGAATTTGTTGAGAAAGATAACATTTAACATTAAAAAAAAAAACATTTGTTGAGAAAGATAGGATTTGTTGATGATGTGATGATCTTTGGCCATTCGTCTTCCATTTTAATGGTTGATGGTGCTTTGAAACATATTTGGTTGTTAGGAATCCTTCCAATTGGAATTTGAATTGCTATTGTTTAAATTTGAATCTTTTGGGATTGGAAATCAAATTTTGATTGATTTGGCTGCAATTAGTGTGTGGTGGGAAAATCTTCTTCTTCAATCTCCATGCAGTTTTTGTTGAGATCTTCAAACTTATTCAAATCTCATTATCGACCTTATTTGAACTTATCTTCAACCTTTATTTTGCCTTATCTCAAACCAAAGCGGTTTGGAAGAGATAAGAGAACATTCCCTACCTATTGCAGTGAAAACTCTACTCGCGGGAAGCATTGACCCTAACGGTCTCCAAATCCATTGATGCCTGTCAAAGCCTCCATTTAAGCTTATCTCCAACCTTTATCCAACCTTATTCCTTGAGTTCCAATGTAGATCCAAATTTTTATTCACTCACGAGATTTGGGTAGTCCGAGGGGACCATCTCGACTCCTCTCTTCTCGAGAATCCATGCATCCCCTATTAGTGTATGGACAACTATCTCTCGAGCAAAGGTTGAGGTTCGGCCTCAATGGGGAAAATGGAGTACCTAACAACACATATTCATAGACGAAGAACTATGAGATCACCCTTTTCATTCTGGGGCGATGGAGGGATCATACCATTCGAGCTTTTTTTTTTTTCATGTTTTTCCTTGAGGTATGAAGAAAACAACAATCAGTAGGATTCCCCTAATCTTCCCTTCCCGAAAGGAAGACCGTGAAATTCTTTTCCTTTCTGCAGTGACCAGGAGATTGGATCTAGCTATAAGAAGAGAATAATGCTTGGTATAGGTATAAAAATGGTTCTAGCATAAGAACTGGAATTACCAATGAAAGTTCTTACCATATAAGAGGAAGACATAATAATTTTGATAAAAATAAAATTTTTTAAAGTTTATGCGTTCAATGCAAGAATCAACGTCTAATTAAATTGGGTACTCGTTCGAGTTAAGATTGGAAGTTCGTTGTTATTTGGAGCCATATAGCTCTATCCATTTTAGTCACTCGACCTGAATATAAATTGATTTAATTTCCTTCCCAGAATGAAAAACAAGATTTTGTATAGTTCTGGTATGAACAGGTAAGAATGAAGATTCATAGAGTTATCTATGGATACGACATGCTGCTTTTCCATGTCATTCTCTTTCAGGATTAGTGGTTGTCTTACAAACCCGATCAATGGGATGGGTGAATCCATTGCTTCATCCAAAAAGCTTGGTGTTAGGCAAAGATAAGATCAAGTTTCTGATCTCCCACGGGAAAACTTTAACCATGGGAGACCCAACTCAATGAATTTGAATTTCATTTGATCTTTATCCTGAATTCCTTCCCTCGATCTTCTCAGTTTTCCCTTATCACCAATAGCTTCATGGGTGAAATAGGGTTGAGATAGGACCGTGGTGAAATAGGACCGTGGGGGAGTTCAAGCTTTAATCTTTTCATAACTGCGGTGAAATCCATCATTGTCATCACCTAGAGCCCCCACGGTGAAGTTTCATCAAATACATCGAAGGTTTTGTATGACCCCTTCTTAATGCGGTGAAAACTTCTTCATGTCACATGACTACAGTGAACTGCAGTGAGAACTCTTCGGGTGTTACAGATCACACCAAACAGGTGTCCACCTGTTGGGATCAACCATTGGCCTAGACTTAGAATTTGTCCAGCACTCCAGCCTTAACTAAGAGGCATGACAGAATCAGATTGTATATCTTGCACTAGCTTTCTGGCTACTGAATTGGTGTAGTTGTGAGCTTGGCACCCACTAGTCAAGGTCACTTTTTGCCCTTGAATCTTCACACTCTGTTGCCTTATCGAAGTACCCCATACTATTGGAAATTTTGGACTTAGATGCTGATCCACCTTCTAGGGTTCTATCCATTATTGAGAAGACAAGGATCCTCTTACTCTTTTTGACACTTTTGCACAGGCACAACTATTGACTTAACTGCTTGCATCTGCACTACTGGAAATTTTGGAGGTTGGAACTCTCTCTTGTTTCCTCATTTTTGTTGTTGTAGATCTCAACATGCTTCTGAGTGATATGGCCTATCCTTTCACATTTTTTTGTTTTTTTTGGGTGGACACCCAGATAAATTTTAAAATTTTGGTGGCATCAAGTCCTATGCACCGCAGGTTTCCAATCTATTGGTAATTGTGTAGTTTGTGTTAGCTTCCCAAGGAATCCAAACTTTTCACTCTACTTGATGGAATGGCTATAGAAAAAACATACAAAAAAGAAAATCTCAAGTCAGACCATAGCTTGGCATATATTCTTGGTTTTAGTATAACATTTTCTAGAACCTTTTTAAATCATTGGGTTTTCCTGTATCATTATCATGCTTAATGTTCCCTATACTTAGTATGTTATGAACATGTTTTCATAGCTTCTCTTTCGTAATAGGACAGTCACCTATACGTTCTAGCCGGTTGTCTTACAATAAAGTAAAGAGGTCAGTATTTTTGCTGTAATTTGTGCCACAAGAGTAGCTATACATTTTGATTGCTTAGGCATGCATATCCTTATTTGTTTGTGACTTTTCCTTATTGTACTTGGGGAATGGCTTGCAGGTGCTTCTTAGAGCTATTTGATAATCAAAATGCAGCACGTCCCAGCAACTATTGAGGAACATCTTCTTTTAAAATCAATCAAGGAAGAATCCCCTTGGGAGAATCTACCTAAAAGGCTTCAAGCGACCTTATCTACAAAGGAAGAATGGCACAAAAGGTTTTGGCGTGTGACTTATATTGCTTTCAACTCATGCCTTGCAACTTTGTTATGATGTTGATTTTTACCTGCACTATAGGATCAATTTTAGGGCGCTACATGAGCTAGTGACCCTGACTCATTTCAAACCTTGAAAGGTGGAAAATGGTCTGAAGTATGTGGATAACACTTTTCAGTTATTTTTTGTTCTTCTTTTTATAGCGCAAATCTGGACCATTTGGCTCTTGTAATCGGTCTATCATATCAAATGAAAAGGACAAGACGAATCCCATTTTTATTGCATATCATTTTATTTCATTTCGACAATACTTCTCTCTTGGGAATGGGGGTGGGAGCATTGGTGCTTAGGGAGACCGATGCCTCAACATAATGTCCCTTCCTCTATTCCCACCATTAATATGTCAAAAAGAGAAAAGAAAAGAAAAGAAACTTCTTTCTCTTCTCTGTTTTCTTTTATCAGTTATCCTTTTTGTTTTTTTGTTCTCTTGTTTATTTCATGGATTTGTACACCTCCCTGGTCTTAGAGCTGGTTGATTATACTCTCGCTTCAATTTAATGTACCAAAGTTTTCTAATATATAGAAAGCCATGATTGCTGGACTGGCAGTGTGGGGCACATTCATGGACTTTGATACTTGTTGTCTTTATGTTTTCTTCATTCTTAATAATTGAGCAGATTGATCTAACTTATTAAAAGGAAAAAAACAAAACAGATTGAACTTGTAGAAACTATAAAATGCAGTACATTTTTTGTGTGGTCCTGAAATTTTTTTCCAGTTAGTGTCTTACTCCTTTAGCTAGTGTCCGTGTTAATTGTTTTCTTATTGTCAATATGGCGCATACCTTTCAACTTATGCTTCCAACAATTGGCTGTGATACTATAGTTCTGTTGCTTTTTGTGGATGTACTATTATTTAGTTTATGTGCAGGTCATATTGATTTTGCCTTTTCTGTTGCAATTGAACACAGGGTTATGGACCATTGCATCAAAAAGCGCCTTCAGTGGAATACATGTTTTGCCCGTAAAGTCAGTAAAGAGGGGGAATACTATGAGGAGATGATGCGCTATTTGCGTAAGAATCTAGCGGTGTGTACTTAGACTGGCCTAGTTTCTTTTTGGTGTCTGTAATATCGAATTTAATCGCTTTAAGTTGTCAATTCTTTGCAGTGATATAGCTGATTGTATGCTATCATCTTCCACCTCATTTCAACTTTTGCACATATACATAGTTGCATTGGAGCACCATTAATGTTACACTATGCAATCTCGTGCATCTAATGAGTTCATGTCTTTTCACAGCTGTTCCCTTATCACCTTGCGGAGTATGTCTGCCGAGTAATGAGGGTGTCACCTTTCCGATATTACTGTGACATGATATATGAAGTTATGAGGAATGGTATCATCAATCACCTGCTTCTTAAGTTTCTAGAAATACATTGAGAAATTCCATTCACATGACTAGCCTAAATTCTTTTAGTGGAAAAAGTTTTCCAACAAAATAAGAGTTTTCTTACACGATCCCAGTGCTACCATTAATCATTATGTAGCCTGTTAATCAGTCACCTTTGTGGGTTGAATAGTTTTTGGCATTTCTTTTGTAAATTTCCATCTTCACCTTTTTTTTCTCTTTCTCTGCCATTTTTTTCTCTTTCTCTGCCATATGTTCTGACATTCATAGATTCCATTGAACTGAAGTATCTAAGATTTACATTTACTAGAACACTATCAAACTGGTAGAAGTCGCCATCAAGTTGAAAAATAAATTAGAGTTATAAATTGTTTACATATTGAACCTTTCCATGTAAGATGGGGCATGATTGCATTAGCAGGTGCATTATTGTTGCTTGTGCATGTGTACAAGTGTATTGTAATTATACTAGTACTCTGCAGATTAATGCCTTCTACATCTGTAATGTGTTGTCTAGGTCACGTGTCATTATATTGTGATAACCCTTGGTATTTGCTTTCTCAAAATTGAATTCCATGGCTTCTCCGCTCTTGACCTGATTCAAACTGGTGACGTGTGCATGCATCTGTGTCACCTGCGTCGTCTCCATGTCACGTGATCCCTTTCATGGGTTATTTAGCAAACAACTTTGACTACTGCCGTCTAGTCAAGCTTGGGTCCTCTCATGGTATAATTAAAGATCACTTTGGTTTGATCCATATCGCCTTTGTTTGCTCAATTGGGTTTAGAATGCCACAGAAGCTGCACTTGGGCTCTCTTGACAAGGTAAAGGTAGACTTTTCGAATCTTATAGGAAGGTGTTGTGGTGACTATCATTTCCTTTAGCATTTGCTGATATCGTCATGAAATGTATGTGTTGTGCATCAGTAGACTGGTATGCTTCTCCCACGGTCTGGGAGCAACCAATGATTTTGTTGACTCCAGGGCTTGCCTTAAGTTTTGTAGGACTCACTATACTGGGCCTGATCCCTAAAATATTGAATGGTGTTGTTTGCCTCTAGGATGTGGGGGGTGGGGGTGGGGGAGGGGGAACAGTTTCATCCAAAACCAGGTTTTTGGAAAACTTGCTTTTTGCAGCGGTTTCCCAAAACCTCAAATGAGCCTATTTTGGGGTTTTGGGAACTGAGTTTTTGAGTGGATAAATGGTGCCAAATGTCTCGAGGAAAACCTAGGGTTTTTCAGATCAGGTTTTTCTTTTTTGAAAAAAAGGTTAATATTGAATAAAAGGTAAAAGCTTACATAAGATGAGAGAACAGGTGGCATCCTACAAGTTGGGTGTTCAGACTACATAAGTTTATGATAGGCGGGGGGAATAGAAAAAGAAGGGAGAAAAGAAGAGAGAGAGAGAGAAAGGTTAGAGAAGCTAACAAATAAAACATATGGAGATCCAGGAAAAGGAACTCTATTGTAACTGATCCTCCTCTATGAACTGGAGAAGAGAGGGCATAGCAACATCTATACAAGATCCAAGAGTAAAGAGTGCCTCTGCATAAGTATGATGTTGAGTGGAGTCTGTGGTTGCTGCTGTGATAAGTGCCGCTGCTTGAGTACGATGTCGAAAGGAGTCTGGGGTTGCTGCTGTTTGGAGATAAAAGCTGGGACACTGCTCTAGCTAAGTGGGGAGTGTAGGGGGTAGTATGGGGCAGAGGCTTCTGGCGTAGTGAGCGAGTGATCTCTAATGGGCGAAGGTCCATAGATGGGCAGGCCTTGGGGTTGCTTTTGGGGATAAGCAACCATCTCCCAAGGGAGTCATTGTGTGAGCTGTGAGGTTGCTTCTGGCTTTGGCTGCTGGCTACTGAGGGCGGCTATCATTGCAAAGTGGATTTAAATATCAGCATTAAGCCTCAGACAGCTGGCGAAGGTGGATTAAAGATAGGCTAGAGAGAGAGAGTAACAGCAGGAGGGAGCAGAGATTGAGAGAGAGAGAGAGCAGGAGGGGGAAGAGATTGAGAGAGAGAGGAGCATACTAATTTCCCAAGGAACAAAAAGAAAGAAAAAAATACTAAGTTTTTTTCCCCTAGGTGTTTGTGGGGGGAGGAAATGATGGTACTCAAGATATAGAGGTGAGACAGATATTTTAGAGAGAAGAGGTGAAACGGTAATAGTTTAGGGCAGGTAGAAGAGAGCCTGTTTAGAAGCGGAGCACCTTTAAAAGGAAAGAGAGGATGAGGGGGTACGCAATCGATTTAGGTAAGAGCTGAAGGCCAAGAGAGATTGGAGAGATGATGGAGGAGATTAAAAGGGTTGGATTAAGAATAAAGACCGAGACTAGAGACGGTTAAAGAGAGAGAAAAAGAATTAGAAGTGGAGGTTGGAAAACTAAAAAGACCAAACACCCTTATTTTTTTCTTTTTCCCCTCTTTATTTATATATTTCTCGTATCCCTCCCCCCTTTTTGTTTCTCTTCTTCTTCTTCTTTTCTTTTTTTTTTTTGGGGTGGGGGGGCATTGAGAGGGAGATAGATTTGAGCTATGGAGAGAGCGGAGGATCTAAACCGGTCTGATGTATCTTTTATTGTCTGCGATTGTGGTGGCAGTTATGTTTTTGAGAGGGTATCTTGCAATCTCTTCCACATATTTCATCAATGAATGCATCTTATTTTTTTGGGATTGTTTAGTCATTTAAGCCCTTTTTTGTGATATGACCATGAATGGGATGTGGCTTGGGATGCTGATCCAAGGCTTATTGCTTGAAAGTGAAACAATAGTCCAAAGGGATTGGACTAGGACATGGTCTTTCTTTCTTGTGACCTCTAGTGCTTTGAAGCACTTATATGACTTATCCTGAGGCTTTGTAATCTAGGCTTGGGATGGTGCACATATGTGTGCCAAAAGCATACATAGAGTCGTAAGCCCTTATGTAGCCATGAGCATGAGGCATTTGGCTTGAGTTATTACCAATTGGGTTTATCCCTTGTCTAAGATAGAGATATGCCCATTGGTATTGGCCAAGAGGCTGAAGGTTATAGTTGTTAGAAACACCTGTGATTCCTAACCATTTTAGGAATTAGAATCGCGGGAGTCAGATGATTCCTATAGTTAGAATTGTTGTTCGTACAATGCAAATCACTTGTTGCGTGATTCCTACTATATTGGAATTGCGATCCAGTAAAATAAGGATTGTGTGTCCTATCTTGTTGGAATCTGTATCCAGGGCTCTCATTTTATTCTGATCAATATCTTTGACAACCCTCCCCTAACAATTGTATAGGTGTACTGAGTGCCCTTTAACGTAGCTCTCCATAACATTGGAGTTTCTAGAACTCCAAGAAAACAATATCTTGTATGTGTTTGTCATGGTTATTTTGAGGATGAAACGAGGAACTTCAGATTCTAACTAGAAAAGAGTCTTTGAGATGTGGACCTCAAGCTCTTAGAGCACCGTGTCCTTCGATGCTTTATCGATAGCCTTTCAACATCAGGGTACATGAAAAGTGAGGAACCAAACTAATATGTTGTATGTGTTCTTCATGCATCATTCGATGATGAAAGAAAGATATGCATCTTCTCACTCAAAACGAGTCTCTATAATGTGGACCTCGAGCTCCTAGAGAGCCATGTGCTTCGATGATTTATTGAAAACCCTTTCAATATCAAGGTCTATCAAAAGTGAGACAATTTCTAATTTCGTGAGGGTGATGAACTGGTTAAGTACTCATACTCACAAGGTAAGTGGAAGTTGAATATCCTAGTTGACGATTACTTGCAAAAGTCATTACTACCATACTTTGCATTTGAATTTTGATTTCGTGTTATTAAAAATTCGACTCCATGTTCGATGAATCTATGAACCCCGGGTTTTGATAGTGTGGATCTATCTTCCAAATTGATTCGTTATTCCTAAAAGTTGAGATCAAGGTCTCATCTACGTTGAATCTCGGTCTTGTGCACCTAGGAATTGCAATTTTTGTGAGTTGAAATCTAGATTCCCCATTTCTAGGAGTCGAGATCCAAAAAATGTGGAACTAGATTCATGAAATTTGCCAATTTCTTGGAATCAGAATTCAAAAAATAAGTGGATTGAGATTTATGAAATTTGGAATGATGATTCGTATCTTCTTAGAATTTTGAGTCATCTTGGGAAACGTTGAATCGCTACCTCAATACACGATTCGGGTAACTATACTGAAGGTTTTACTCCTACGTGAGGATCGATGAGGTTTGTGAAGACGAGCGCGAAATCCCTGACAACTAATTAATCGCCCTATTGAGGGATGTTGCGCATGTGCCTTGAAGATATTACTTCGTACACTTATGAGGGTGTTAGTCGTCCTTAATTGGGCATGACTTGTTATTAGAGAAGCACCAAAAGCCACCATCCGGTGCAGAGTCCGACCACCTATTGGCTAGCTTTTATGGACCGAGCATGAGCCCTGTGATCTAGATTGTGGGTCATGGGTCTTAGTGGGTTGGTTTTAGAACGTTGTGGGAGGGCTTGACACACCAAATAGTTTTACTGCCATAATTTGATGAAATCTTAACCATAGGTTCTGCATTTTCTTTAAATCTAATCTTTTTTTCTTTGCAGAACTTATCTGGACTTTGAAGAAAAGGTTTAAAAATGGTTTTTGGGAATTTTTGGATTTTTTGGAAGTTACTTTTTCGAGGAAAAATAGGTCAGAATTATGTAAGAATAACAAATTGGGCAATGACCTTCAGTCCCTGTCCTGAATTAGACCATATTGGATCACACATGGACCACAATGGCCACGGGGCTCCATTTGGAGCTCAATTGGGCTCAATTGAGTGGTGTCCAGCCACACACCTCCATGCGGCCGTGACATCATGATGATGTCATCATGTCACTCTAACCCTTCTTTTTTTGTGTAGATCACTCTAAATGAAGAATGTATACTTCTCTTGGAGCTCCTAAAAGGTTTAGAGGTTTGAGGGGATAAGATGAGCTGGCAGGGATGATGTCATTTGATG